TTTCTTGGTCAAAAGTTTTTTTAGATTGTAAAATAATATGCCAAGAAAATTTACATGATAAACACTGATGCTTTGGACACAATAACACAGCACGTCTTGACGAAATGATCTTACTGACAATTCCTGCTATCTAAACAGATATTTCTTTCGGAAGAATAAACATGCACGTGCTTTATATATCACAGATTGTCCGAAGTTCATTGATATTGATAGTACAATATATGTCGTGTTCTTTTAACTACCGTACCACTTGTGATTATTTACCAGAACTTAATGAATTAACAAACTTCAATGCCCAAGCCACTTTACAAAACCACTACGGAAGCCTGTATGGGCCATGAAAAACTCACATAAGATGTATAATGCTACACTCCTTTGTAATATCATTATTTACAGAAATAATAGTTGTCATCTTAGCATAAATATGACTACATAGCAGGTTATCTCCACGTCAAATTGTTTGATGATACAATTTTGACACATATATCTACTTAATTTGAGAAAATATATATCGAAATACAACATGTTATCGATCCGTTTAAACTTTTTTTCAAATTAGGAGTTTTCCATTCTCATATTTTAACAATTGTTTGTAATCGTTTTTATAGTTGTATCTATAATTTAATATATTATTATTCATCTTTGAGATATAAAATATGTATTTAAAAAACAAAAGTCAATTGAATGAAAATGGGGGGGTGAGGGGGGTGGAGGGGGGGGCATGAAAAACTCGCATACACTTCACGCACTTGTAACGTCCCTTACGGAAATAATCGTCGTCATCTTGGAATACAGTGTTTTATCATTAAAAATCAGTTAGCATATCTTATGTTACGAAGCTCTCAAGTTAAATGTATCCAAATTTTAATATCAAACAGCCAGCTAATCAGAACTGTGCTTTGTGGCCATACTTATATCATAGTGACAATGATTAAGAAGGATATAAAACGGTGTCTCCTATAGGCTTCCGTGTTTTCGAGCAATATCGCGATAAAAACCGTGTTGCTACGATACTTAAGGCGATAAAAAGATAAATTATCGCGATAATTATCACGAATAGTCGACTTAATATGACGCCTTAACACGATATCATCACGACAAGTCATGTTAATGCGAAAAAAATTGAAGCAATGGATTACCATGGCAACACGACAAGCAGATGCCACCATATATACCTGTGTTTATAGCTGACTACCCTTGTCTCTCTTTCAGCTATTTCTGATTTCATTTACACGTTTTTACTCGAAGTTAGGCTGTTTTTTTTTCATATCATTTCAGTTCCTAGTTGTTTGTAAATGTTCTGTCTCCATTAATATGATTTGTATTTATCTATATTAATTCCATTTATCTTGAAATCTGTGCTATGTAATATGCTTGCATTCATATTTGTTATTTGCTTAGAATTTCAATTTATCGTCAGATAAGTTATTCAGGGTCATCACTGTGCGTTTTATTGTACTTTGTGTTTGGACTTAAAGGTTAAGCTACAATGGCGTTTTAATCTACATCCGTGTTTAGCCGTGCCTGATAATTTGTAATTAAGCGTTTGTCTAGAGATAAATTAATTGGAATTGTTGAATTGAAAATTAATTAATTTTCATAAAAGTATCAAGTTTTATTAAATCCAAATGCAATACAGCATATAGGTACAAGAACAGTGCATACGTAATTAAATGATCAAAATTCATATATGTAATGTGCAAGAAATACCGAACCCTTTCACCTGCTCTTTTTAGATTTGTTCAAGCTATAATTATATACATGGTGACAGGACATTATGGAAAGTTGTAAGTAAATGGTGTAATATATTCACATAAAAGGATTATAAGATCAATGTTAAGCATAATCTATTTCATTAAAGATTGTTGATATCTTGTTTTGTGTGCGTGTTTTATAAAAAAATTTCGTTCCAGAAACATCACTGTTTACAAAACCAAAACCGTTTTAATTCCATGAATAATATCCTACTTGTCATTCTACTGGCACACAGTAGACAGATTTTATTGTCTTTAGTCTAATAAGTAGAGAATATTGATGGTTTCTCGTTGTATATCAAATTATGCTGCTAGCTTTTGTGAAACTGACCAATTTGTCAGTACTTCACTGGCGAAAATGTAATAAATTTCTATTTCAATGGCAGAAATGTGATAAATGATTTTATCAATTTAAAAATAAAGGATACCGGTATTATATGATTTCCCGTTGAATATCATATATATTTCAGGAGTATGATAGAATATCGATATTTTACACGTGTCTCTCAACAGGGCAACATCATTGTAATACCGACTCAAATTCCATAAAACTAGGACAAAATATGAGCAAAAGGAAGATTTATATCGAAACTCCTGAAAAAAGTTCAAAGAGAATAAGACCAGGTGTTCCGGAAAAATAAACTTCTGTTTCAACGTGTCATCGACGACACCCGCCAAGTAAACATTGGTCAATCCAAGTAAATAATGTCACGTTCTCAAATGAGAATAAGAATATTCAACAACGGAGTCAACAGACAAACGAACGAGCATCAAATACGTCCAGCTTCATATAAAAAAAACTAAATGAGATCACTATGGAGACCATAAAACTTCCTCGTAATTTCCATCAACCTTTTGAATCCCGTTTTACGAGTTTGTGCGTCAGTTGACGACTTCTTGCACGAAAATCGTGATAATGGGAGCATGCCCTTGAATATCGAATCAGGCAGCTATGACATGTAAATACCAAAGGTTGGAGACTAATTTTCACGTCTCGTAGTAATAGTGAAAATATTTTACACTTCTCAAAAGGATTTATATAAGCTATAATTTATATGTCTCACAATGAAAGTGATACTTAAAAGTTTATATGTCTCACAATGAAAGTGATACTTAATAGTTTATATGTCTCAATGAAAGTGATACTTAATATTTTATATGTCTCAATGAAAGTGATACTTAATACAAATGTAGTTTATATGTCTCACAATGAAAGTGATACTTAATAGTTTATATGTCTCAATGAAAGTGATACTTAATAGTTTATATGTCTCACAATGATAGTGATACTTAATACAAATGTAGTTTATATGTCTCACAATGAAAGTGATACTTAATAGTTTATATGTCTCAATGAAAGTGATACTTAATAGTTTATATGTCTCACAATGATAGTGACACTTTACAGTTTACACGTCTCGCCATGATATCTAAGAGTAATATTTTACGTGACACACAATGACAATGATTTTCAGTGATTATTTAAGAAACAAGGCCAGATCTGTTGGTGTGAAAAAAATACAAAAATAGTGACTGTTCAGGCGAGAACTTATAATACAGGGATGCATTATACATCCTTGATGCCGGACATGTATGTCACAGCGGAGTGTTTAGGCATGTATAGACAGGAGTAGGTTGGAGTATATATAGGCATGTAAAGACAGGAGTAGGTTGGAACATAAATTGGCATGTAAAACAGGATTAGGTTGGGTATATAAAGGCATGTAAAGACAGGAATAGGTTGAAGTATATATAGGCATGTAATGACGGGAGTAGGTTAGGGTATATATAGGCATGTAATGACAGGAGTAGGTTAGGGTATATATAAGCATGTAAAAACAGGAGTAGGTTGGAGCACGTATAGGCATGTAAAGACAGGAATAGGTTGGAGCATGTATAGGCATGTAAAGACAGGAGTAGGTGGGAGTAAGTATAGGCATGTAAAAACAGGAATAGGTTGGAGTATGTATAGACATGTAAAGACAGGAGTAGGTTGGAGTATATATAGGCCTGTAAGAGTTTAATTACATAGAGTTAGGTTGAGGTATATATATCTGATAAACGGTGTAAATATTGATTGATTTCTATTTCAAAGAACAACTTGTAGATATCCTCAGGGAAAATTGTTTCCAAAATCTTACTAAACCTTACTATGTCGGCCACACGAGTATGTGTATTTATCCAATCATTGTCCACAACAAGTAAAAATAAATCATATAATATCAGATAACACATAACAAATGTTGTCAGAAGACAACAAACTGCAGTGATTTTACTTTCACTCTATAATTTTTTACATTTATTTATTTTTTGCGTTTAACATGTTTGATTTGTGTGTGTATGTAAATGGAGATGTCTAGGTTTAATTATTATAATCTGTCACTTGTGTATGTATAGGAGTTACCTATTGTAATGAACTCAGAATAATAGAAAACATGAAACTTCCCCAGGTAAATCTTCAGGTGAAATTCTACAGGTAATATAAAAAAGGTATTGAACTGTTGGGAAACGATAAACGAACCTGTTTTAAGATGGTTTATTCTTATTAATATAAAATTGTTGTTATGTTTGGAATGAAAAATTAAACCTTATTGTTATGTTTTCTTCCGAGTCTATGAATTCCAAACCAATTCTTTTTGTATGTACTGTATTAACATACATATTCTTTCACCTTTCATATTACTTTTTACAGAAATAAAATGAAATGTTGAAAAGTAAACGTATCTCAACCTGGAACGCAAAAAATTATCACGGCTTTTAACCACGAACGTAGATGAAATATATCAGCCTGCGCTTTATATGATAAATTATGGCGTGCGCGTAAGTGTATTTATGTAATACAACTACATGGTTGGTGGTGTATTTAAATGTATAACTACATAAAACGTTGTTCTAATTGATAACTAAATATCTGAAACTATTGGCAACAAATGTTTGTGATTAGTTACTAACTACATAATAAATATTTTAACATTACTTCCTTAACACAGTTACAATGTATTTCTAATATTACCGAAAGAAAGAAAAGTGGAAAAAATATTTATTTAAATTTATCTCTTTTTTTTTACTTTAATGGCGGTCTTCCTGAAGACGAGGCGAACAATGCAAAAATGATATTATCATCGAAGATTTACAGTCGGCTATGCAGTGCATCGAACTATTACAGAGCGCTGCGGCCTCAGATATGCTAATTTCTGACGTCACTTGGTAGCATTATGGGATGTGGTATTTATATCCCAGGCGTTGTGGCGATCGAACGTATGTGTCGATCGTAATATTTATCGGATTTGGGGGCATATTATGGAAATAAGGACAATGGGGGAACGCGTTTTTGCCGCCGAATGCATACAGAAGAAGCGTATACGCAGGGTGAGTCTCGGTGTTGATTGGTATGGGTGTGAGGGGGTATTCTGGATCACGGGTCTGTCTAGTTTCCGTGATGTTTCTACTTGATACTACACTCTACATATCGCTATAATGATATGTTTTACTTTGCAGGGAAAAGTCGAGTTCTTTGTCAAGTGGAAGGGCTGGTCACCAAAGTAAGTACTTGTATATACAATCTCCGGTCAGTCTGCACATGTCACGTGTCATCCGCCCCCAGCCGATCCGTCGTACTCATTACACCTCTTTGTTTTCTTTACTAGATACAACACGTGGGAGCCGGAGGAAAACATCCTGGACGCTCGTCTCATCCAGGCCTTCAACTCTCAGTGAGTAATACCGATGTCTTTGTGTCCATTGTCAGTTGTCTGTCATCTGACGAAATTTATTTACATATTTTTTGCATGGTTGGTTTTTAGCAGTTACGAAATCTCACGGATTAGATCATGTGGGTTTATGCTAATCGTTATTATGACATTTTTACCGCGGCAGCAGTTGGGGAGTCTGTCGTCAAATTATATAAAACAGGGAATTTCCACTGAGGGAGGATGTTGCATTGGTGTGACACAGCCCCCTATTTAATATGTGACCCAAATAAAACAAAAACAAAAAAGATGCATTGGTTTTAATTTATTACTGAAACACTTGTTATTGGTAATTCTTTAAAATAGTCCTTAACATTTTAATCTAATTGATTGTTTTATAGATATAATAAACTGACTATGATGTGCTCGAATTTCCGACTATACTGACAACCGTCATTATTTCCTCATTTGTGCTACAGTCTCGTGTATGTCTCTAAACTAGGGAGAAACGGTTGTTTTGATGATTAAATTGCTGTTGTTATGTATGGAAATAAACTAATATCCATACGACATCCCTAGAAAATCTTGCATTTCATACTCTAATGTTGAATAGAATTACCCGGCTACACTGACAAACCTCATTATACTCTCATTTGTAAACATGTGATGGAGCACGAATTATCAATTTTTTTTCAACTTCTATCTTATTCCGTTTGTTTATAGATTGAAAAGCATACCAAATGATTTTTAAACGTTGATATAGATAACAGTAACGTTACTTTGATGTTCTGCTATCTAAAGTAATTGAAAAAAACTTAATTTGCGAGGGAAGTGGGGACATCTCATTATGTATTAGTTTTTTGCTTGGATTTGTTTGTTTACGTGATTTATTCGTTAAATGTTTTGCAAGCTTTTGAATATCTATTGTTTCTTTTTCCAAACATGTATTGGTTAATGTTAGCCTGGCATTATGAAATTATATTTACTTCCCCGGTAGTAGGAGAGGGGGATGGGAGTGATTTGCATATCTTTTGTGTCAAATATATCTCGTACATTTGTACAGAAAATGCAGTTCTTACACTGAAAGCACAGAAAAGCATTGGCCATAAGAACCTATTACTTTCCCACATAGAGGTCGTCCATTATATTGTTCTCGAGAGTGACAGTAGCTAGTCACCACTAATTTAAAACATTGTCAGTGAATGGAATATTTTGGTAGATTCTTTTTTTTCGTTGATGTCTGCAAGCGTAATTTTATTTCCATGGAAAGTTAGAATTAACACAGCACGTTCATGATATCAACATAATGAAAAACAAACATATATGTAGGTTGTGATGGGTACAGTAAATTGTTAGAAAATGTCGGTATTTCTGACTGATAAACAGGTTCGTGAGTCGGGGATTAAACTGGAACTTACCACCCCTTAGCTATCTATCTTGGTTAGTAATTAATTATAAAAGTTCATCAGGAAAGATTATTGAAATATCTTTGAAAAATATCAGTTATCCTGAAAAAGATATCATCTAAGTTCATCTGTGCAGCCATTGCTTTACATTTTTAATTCACAAGAATTTTTACTTATTTTAAAACGCTTATATGCCGGTCGATAAGAATGCATTTAAACTGCTAGTAATGACTGTGACTTTTTGCCTTTTTCTACATTTAAAACCACTGTTAATGATGGTTTCATTCGTCTTTTTTAAAAAATACTTTGATCAGTTTTTTTATGTTGCTAAGCGTTTTAGCTCATCAACATTTCAAGTGTCTGTACAGCAAAGATCAATATTTTATCTAAGAAACAATTATGACCTGCCTCGCATTCCTTCTTTGGATAGATGATCTTTCTGATGCTGTGTAATTGAATTTTCCGCTTTGCCTAGTTTTCTATAGATATTAGAAATGTATACTTCGCAATATATATGAGATAGGAAATAGGTTTATGAGTAAACAACAATAACACAAAGGCATTGTATTATTATGGCTGTACTGACTCGCAGTTAATTAAAATAACACTTTTAAACTATAGCCAAAATGATATTAATCAAATATTAATCAAAGAATATCGAAACAAGTTGGAGTGCCCCTTATGTACAAAAGTTTATCTAAAAATTTCGAGTTATTAGCTTGAAATTTTTTGTTAATACATCAAACATTGAGTTTTATATCTCAAAATTTCGGAATATTAACACAAGATTTGGAATTATTTTATAAAAGAAATCCAGTTATCGTATAGAAATATGGTACGTCATTTATAGAGTCGGTACAAGGTTTCCAAGACTGAAACATGTTTTGAAGACAGCAATACCAAACTCTCGACATTTCGGGCAAAAAAACGAAAGTGCATCACGTCGAAGTTCAATTCTCATTCACATCTTTTAAGGAGCTACGAATAAAACCGTAGATGTGAGTAAATATTTGGTTGGAATTACATGAAGTGATACTGCCTTATTCTACACGAAATACCAGTATAAGATTATCATACGCTTGTCGGAGTAAACTTAATTATCTTTTATTTTATCTGTAGTTACTGGTGTAGTTGTTAACATACGTTTATATGTAAACTCATTCATCTAACATTAGGTAGGGTGTGATGATCTCATTTACATATGTTTTTCGGACTCTTTACCCATTGTTCGTTATACTTCCGTGTTTAATCATCGGCGCTGATTCTATACAGCTAACACTAGTCACGTGGATAAGATTTCGCTGATTTTCGTTCATTAAGGAGCCAGACCCACTCCTCGACCGATATTATTTTTTATTAAAAATAATCATGATTTTGTATTTTTCTCGGGTAGCAAAAGTTCTGACTAACCTTGTAATACCGCAATTTAAAAATAAATCGCTACCAATCTAACGTAATAAAAAGTTTTTAAAAAGAATTCGAAACGACTCGGTGCTAATTCATAATTATGCGGGAAGTCCTGCCCTCTTACACATGTGCAAAGAACTGTAAATAAATCTGCCGTCTTCCAACATGGCAGAAAGCGTGCGAGGGAAGCGGGGAAGAAAACGTGTTTTAACAGACTCTGAGGCGAAAAGAAGGAAGATGGCGCGAGGCCGTGTTATATCAAAGACAAAGATTTATATTGGCGAACATACGGAAAGATGGAATGATGTGAAAACCGAACTGAATTTAAAAACAAATCACGAAGTAGCGGGTATTTTGCTCGACAGGTAAGAACTCCATCCAATCTGCCTCTCCCTTGGGTTCTTCCTCTCACTCCGCGCCCTCGACCGGCTGGTTCATATTCTGTATCGCTCTCTTGTTTGGCTCTAAAATCATATTCATAAATACTCATATCGAATATTCGCTTTAGATAGATCCATTTCGCGATGTTCTATATGTTCGTTACCGTATCGTAGTCCCCATTTGAGGGCCTCTTTGCAATTAATCGTAGTTTTTCTCGTAATCTACACGTTTTTGTGTCATATCTAAGCATTGAAAGATGTGATCAATAGATACGTTAGATGATTTCCATACAGGATATATAGAGTGTTGATTGCGTTTATCGGTAAAATCTCTTTACAAGAGATGTCACATGGACGTACTACTCACCTCTTCCTCAATTTTTGTTTTGGTTCTGAATGTATCACGTGACATTTCCTCATCAATATTCATATCATGGTGTTGATTAATGAGACTCATTCCGGCACCGATATCTCCGGTACCTTTTCAATTTCAAGTTCGAAACTTTATACAAGTCTTTATTTATATATTATCTATTAGTATACAACAACATTTCCAGTCAATAAAATGTGAAAAAATATCGATAACGGAGTTGGTCTGGCTCTTTAAGGAATTAAGCGGAAATAGATGGCCTAAAAATATTTTACATGTAAAACGCACTAATGAGCCTTTATATGTGCATATGTAGAAATGTTCGTAGTGTGTGAGTGATTTAAGAATTAAAGTTTCTGTGGGTTTTTTTATATGCAGACTGCAACAGTGCTACCGTGTTTATGCCCAATAGTATTTATGGGTGCAGATGTGAAAACTACATGTAGATTCTATGGTATTTACATTAAATACGATTCCTACAAACTTGGATAGCAGCGTTTGGAAATAAAATGCTCAGTTCTTTTAATACTTAAGACGGTGTTGCCATATGAGTTAGTCCCACACTATCTCCCTAAATTAATAAAACTGATACAAATCATCAGTAAATCTTTCAACCTTACACTCTATGGTTACAATTCGTTTCATGCAAAAATATTCAGTTGTCAGTCTCCAATATACTTTTGGTACTAAGGCACTGAATAGGAGAGAATCGTGAAAAAAATCGTCTGTCACCAGTTCCTCGACTGAATGTTCAGCCTTATTAGGAAGAAACATACCTTGTAATCCTGCAATTTATAAATACGTCTGATAATTCATACAAATTATAATTTCTCGATGTTTTGATTTTTCCGAATGCAGCTTCTTTAGAAATAACTAGAACTCCTAATTGTAAGCGGTACATATTATAGTAAGATACCTCGTAACACGTACTCCAGGTGACATGCTTTTCTGATCTAATCTGTTTAACTTTAACAACTTCTTACTGTCTATGCAGACTTGTACACTTTGCTATACGATCTTGAGTTACGGATCCTGATACAGGAATTTTCCCCGCTTTCTACTCAAGGGATATATATCAATTATCATCCGCTGAAAGGTGAAAGGTCGTAATAGTGGACTTAAAACCAGTTATATTAATAATACAGAAAAATAAATAAATAAATAATGATAAGTTAATAAATAAACCCCATTGTCTCTTTCAACTAATTAACGTCTTTTCGCAACGACAGAACGAAAAAACGTCGACAAACAAGAAAGAAATCTTTGGTTAGTGGCGGAACAAATTTGCTAGCTAATCATATCTTCTTGTCCCATAAAGCGTTCTTCGTTTCTTAGCCTCGTGACGTAAATAACTGTGCCTACAGTTAACACTGAATATCTGAATAATGACATTTAGATATCTACTTCTTCGAAATTAATTGATGATAGATTTTCGTATTAATGACCCGAAATTTGAAATATAGTTTTGTTCTTTCCGGAAATTCCATGAAAGCTCGATTTAAAAACCAGACATGGAGATAGTACATTTCGAGATATTAGATTTATTAAATTTATATGAATTACCAACAAACTAATTATTAAATCGTCTGCAGCATGGCTCAACTTTTCCCTTCAAACAACTCGTCAATAACCAAGAGGCCAAGGATATGGTATTGAGTCTATAGCATGCTTCGGTGAAGTGCTATCAAGTTGTGCATTTGAACGACATTGACTATCAAGGTCACGGGAGTGAAATGTGGTCATTAAACAACTAAACCATGAGACCCAGAGTACTGATATTAGGCCTTTGGCAATCTGGGATGAAAGGTTATTAAGTTTGTTAAACTGAATGACATTGGCCCATTTTGAGGGTAACACAGGTCTAAATGTATTTAAAACAGAGCGAACGGAAATGAAATTTAAAAACAGAAGTCACTGTTGCTGGATATTTGTAGAAGAGAAAAAAAATTAGCCTTTGATGATAAGTACATATTTATCTTTTTCTCGTTACAGGTATGAGAAAGAAAACCATGTTCGACGGAGGGGACCAAAGCCAAAGAAAATGCGACTACAGGTAACTTCACGCCACAAAGAACATCGCAACATTTATTTATGTATAAAAAAAGAGAGAAAAATAGTCAAAAAGTTAGTTTCTGATTATTCCTAATTGACCAAAGACGATAGTTTTTGTGCCATTTAATTCTCATTCTGATCTCGTTTCACTCAGTCAGTACTGATGTTACAGTGATTAGCTTGACAGCTGACGGGAGCCGATAATGCTTAACCCAAGGACAAGGTGACGTCACGATTCTTCTAATACGAAATTTCATATATTTTCTTCATATTTATGGAATACATACTTCACTATATACACCTGACTATATATAACTAAGGTCCTGTGTTAATCCGGATATAAGCCCATGAGTTACAAACGTGATGGTATCGATCAAGTTTACTGCGTTTATTGATCCGTGAACAATTAGGCTCATATTTAGACAGGGTCTCCTTTCTCTCTGAGCATCGCGCGGAAGGTTCGTCACATGCTACCCAGAGCAATTAGGCTGAACTGTCTTGCCCAAGAATACAACCAAGATGTATAGCACTATCACTTCACTGATATCTTAAGTCTATGTAACGAATTTTACAAACTTAAGTACCCGAGAGACTTAAGCTAATGACATGTTACATGATGAGATTGATGAACAGGCTATCGTTACATGATGAGATTGATGAACAGGCTATCGTTACATGATGAGATTGATGAACAGACTATCATTACATGATGAAATTGATCAACTGCCTATCGTTACATGATGAGATTGATGAACATGCTATCGTTACATGATGAGATTGATGAACAGGCTATCGTTACATGATGAAATTGATGAACAGGCTATCGTTACATGATGAGATTGATGAACAGGCTATCGTTACATGATGAGATTGATGAACAGGCTATCGTTACATGATGATTGATGAACAGGCTATCGTTACATGATGAGATTGATGAACAGGCTATCGTTACATGATGATTGATGAACAGGCTATCGTTACATGATGAGATTGATGAACAGGCTATCGTTACATGATGAGATTGATGAACAGGCTTTCGTTACATGATTTGATTGATGAACAGGCTATCGTTATATGAGATTGATGAACATTCTATCGTTACATGATGAGATTGATGAACAGGCTATCGTTACATGATGAGATTGATGAACAGGCTATCGTTACATGATGAGATTGATGAACAGGCTATCGTTACATGATCAGATTGATGAACAGGCTATCGTTACATGATGAGATTGATGAACATGCTATCGTTACATGATGAGATTGATGAACAGGCTATCGTTACATGATGAGATTGATGAACAGGCTATCGTTACATGATGAGATTGATGAACAGGCTATCGTTACATGATGAGATTGATGAACAGGCTATCGTTACATGATGATTGATGAACAGGCTATCGTTACATGATGAAATTGATGAACAGGCTATCGTTACATGATGAAATTGATGAACAGGCTATCGTTACATGATGAGATTGATGAACAGACTATCGTTACATGATGAGATTGATGAACAGGCTATCGTTACATAATGATTGATGAACATGATTTTGTTACATGATGAGATTGATGAACAGGCTATCGTTACATGATGAGATTGATGATGAGATTGATGAACAGGCTATCGTTACATGATGATGATGATGAGATTGATGAACAGGCTATCGTTACATGATGATTGATGAACAGGCTATCGTTACATGATGAGATTGATGAACAGGCTATCGCTACATGATGAGATTGATGAACATTCTATCGTTACATGATGATTGATGAACAGGCTATCGTTACATGATGAGATTGATGAACAGGCTATCGTTACATGATGAGATTGATGAACAGGCTATCGTTACATGATGAGATTGATGAACAGGCTATCGTTACATGATGAGATTGATGAACAGGCTATCGTTACATGATGAGATTGATGAACAGGCTATCGTTACATGATGAGATTGATGAACAGGCTATCGTTACATGATGTGATTGATGAACAAGCTATCGTTACATGATGAGATTTACACGATGAAATTGATGAACAGGCTATCGTTACATGATGAGATTGATGAACAGGCTATCGTTACATGATGATTGATGAACAGGCTATCGTTACATGATGTGATTGATGAACAGGCTATCGTTACATGATGAGATTGATGAACAAGCTATCGTTACATGATGAGATTTGTGAACAGGCTATCGTTACATGATGAGATTGATGAACAGGCTATCGTTACATGATGAGATTGATGAACAGGCTATCGTTACATGATGAGATTGATGAATAGGCTATCGTTACATGATGAGATTAATGAACAGGCTATCGTTACATGATGAGATTGATGAACAGGCTATCGTTATATGATGAGATTGATGAACATTCTATCGTTACATGATGAGATTGATGAACAGGCTATCGTTACATGATTTGATTGATGAACAGGCTATCGTTACATAATGAGATTGATGAACTGCCTATCGTTATATGATTTGATTGATGACCAGGCTATCGTTACATAATGATTGATGAACAGGCTATCGTTACATGATGAGATTGATGTACTGCCTATCGTTATATGATTTGATTGATGAACAGGCTATCGTTACATGATGAGATTGATGAACTGCCTATCGTTATATGATTTGATTGATGAACAGGCTATCGTTACATGATGAGATTGATGAACAGGCTATCGTTACATGATGATTGATGAACAGGCTATCGTTACATGATGATATTGATGAACAGGCTATCGTTACATGATGAGATTGATGAACAGGCAATCGTTACATGATGATTGATCGTTACATGATGATTGATTGCTATCGTTACATGACAGGCTATCGTTACATGATGATGAGATTGATGAACAGGCTATCGTTACATGATGAGATTGATGAACAGGCTATCGTTACATGATGAGATTGATGAACAGGCTATCGTTACATGATGAGATTGATGAACAGGCTATCGTTTTTGTTACATGATGAGATTGATGAACAGGCTATCGTTACATGATGAGATTGATGAACAGGCTATCGTTACATGATGAGATTGATGAACAGGCTATCGTTACATGATGATTGATGAACAGGCTATCGTTACATGATGAGATTGATGAACAGGCTATCGTTACATGATGATTGATGAACATTCTATCGTTACATGATGATTGATGAACAGGCTATCGTTACATGATGAGATTGATGAACAGGCTATCGTTACATGATGATTGATGAACAGGCTATCGTTACATGATGAGATTGATGAACAGGCTATCGTTACATGATGAGATTGATGAACAGGCTATCGTTACATGATGAGATTGATGAACAGGCTATCGTTACATGATGAGATTGATGAACAGGCTATCGTTACATGATGAGATTGATGAACAGGCTATCGTTACATGATGAGATTGATGATCGTTACATTGATTAATGAACAGGCTATCATTATATGATGAGATTGATGAACAGGCCATCGCTACATGATGAGATTTGTGAACAGGCTATCGTTACATAACGAGATTGATGAACAGGTTATCGTTATATGATGAGATTGATGAACCGGTTATCGTTACATGATGAGATTGATGAACAGGCTATCGTTACATGATGAGATTAATGAACCGGTTATCGTTACATGATGAGATTGATGAACAGGCTATCGTTACATGATGAGATTGATGAACAGGCTATCGTTACATGATGAGATTGATGAACAGGCTATCGTTACATGATGATTGATGAACAGGCTATCGTTACATGATGAGATTGATGAACAGGCTATCGTTACGATTGATGAACAGTCTATCGTTACATGATGAGATTGATGAACAGGCTATCGTTACACGATGAGATTGATGAACAGGCTATCGTTACACGATGAGATTGATGAACAGACTATCGTTACATGATGAGATTGATGAACAGTCCATCGTTACATGATGAGATTGATGAACAGGCTATCGTTACATGATCAGATTGATGAACAGGCTATCGTTACATGATGAGATTGATGAACAGGCTATCGTTACATGATACATGATGATGATTGATGAACAGGCTATCGTTACATGATGCTATCGTTACATGATGATTGATGAACAGGCTATCGTTACATGATGAGATTGATGAACAGGCTATCGTTACATGATGAGATTGATGAACAGGCTATCGTTACATGATGAGATTGATGAACATGCTTTCGTTACATGATGAGATTGATGAACAGGTTATCATTACATGATGAGATTGATGAACAGGCTATCGTTACATGATGAGATTGATGAACAGGCTATCGTTACATGATGAGATTGATGAACAGGCTATCGTTACATGATGAGATTGATGAACAGGCTATCGTTACATGATGATTGATGAACAGGCTATCGTTACATGATGAGATTGATGAACAGGCTATCGTTACATGATGAGATTGATGAACAGGCTATCGTTACATAATGATTGATGAACATGATTTTGTTACATGATGAGATTGATGAACAGGCTATCGTTACATGATGAGATTAATGAACCGGTTATCGTTACATGATGAGATTGATGAACAGGCTATCGTTACATGATGAGATTGATGAACATGCTTTCGTTACACGATGAGATTGATGAACAGGCTATCGTTACATGATGAGATTGATGAACAGGCTATCGTTACATGATGATTGATGAACAGGCTATCGTTACATGATGACTGATAAACAGGCTATCGTTACATGATGATTGATGAACAAGCTATCGTTACATGATGAGATTGATGAACAGTAACTTTAGTTACATGATTTGATATCGATGTGCGGATTCTGTCATCTACAATGCTAAATCAAACAACAGGTAACTATATGGTGTGAAATTTGTATATCATTTGTGTGTTGTTATGTCTCTTCCCTTCGTTTCACTCACAGCTTATGGGGCCGGGAATGCCCGCCGCATGTCTTTGATTTTCTCTACTTTTTCTTGATATGTTACTCTCGGTTGAATACATCATGCGTCTCTATATCATAGTTCAGGTATGGCTCGATAATAAACTAATTACAGTTTGTGTATTTTTGCAGGAGTCGGACGACTCTGATCAGAGACGACAGGACAGTTCGGAGTTTTCCGCTGCCGACAGCGACAAGGACCCGCCTAGTGATGACGATACAGACGACGACTCCAGCTCAGAAGAAATATCTTTTAAAATATCGGACCGGAAGAGTCCTATTTCTTCTCATCATGGAGAAGGCGCTTCAAACTCCGTGATGGATGATGACGATCTCGCGGTATCCAAGGAAGCTACAGAATCGCCCCAAAACAACGATTCATTCAATTCGATGTCGTCTGGTCACGGATTCTCTCCCCCCGACGGCTCTCATTCACCGCCACCACCCCAGCTTATTCCCATCAAACGCCCACGGGGTCGTCCTCGAGGGCGGCCACCTCTTTCTGGAAGGGGCGGTCCACCGACACTGAGGCTCAATGTTGGCGTTATTCGTGGGCGTGGGCGTGGACGAGGACGTGGTTCTCCTGGCAGGGGGCGTGGACGTGGTCGCCCTCCTCTTGGGGGAAGAGGGCGTGGTTTATCTGGGAGGGGAAGAATGTCCCGTGGGAGGGGATTAGGTAGGGGATTACGAGGTGTTGGGCGAAACACAGTTATTAGAAAACCGAACTCGAGCTTATTATCACTAACCAATAAACCCAAAGTCAAGAAAATCCACGAAGGACAAATGAAAATCAAAGATATGGAATATCCCAAATCTAAAAAGATTGAGACGGGAATGTATCTGAAAGACAGAAAAGATAACCTACAAGGTGTTAGTATTCTTGAGAAAGAATCTCGGCATGACTCGGGCAAATCGATCCATTTTTCACAGCCCGTGGAGCAGAGAGACTACTGGCGCCCTCCCTCGGACGTCAAAAGTATGTTGGACCACGTGATGGTGACTGACGTCACGACAACAGGAGGGACAATAACTGTGCGTGAATCTTCATCCAATTCTGGATTCTTTCAGGAGCGTGAAAGCGAGCCTCCTGTCGAACAAACATAGACTATTCAGTTATTCAACACTGTTGTTCCAGTGTTGTATGAACGGTTTTCTTAAGTTAATAAATGTCACGCATGTGAGAGGAGAGAGTTCAGGTTGACTTGCGAGATTTGGCAAAGGGGAATTTCCTTATCTAACCTGTACTCCGTGATTTCCTGTAGATAATCGTTTATTACAAGTTACCTTTCTGTATAACCTCACTCTTCAAAAGAACCTATCCTTGCTTGTCAACAAGTACAACTCGTAAAGAAGGATCTAGACCAACATCACTTCATCAACCGACAGTTTCAGTTGGTCACACGGCACCAGCTTTCAGTATGCAGGAGTAATGAAAAATGACCGGTAGCTGTTATCGTTCTAGCTAGTGACCTTGGGTCTATAGCCGGACACTCTAACACTTGATTGAAGGAAGATTCCCTCTAACTAAGGCTAGTAGTTCAACCTGAACCCTCTTCTACACATTATCGTCATCTTGCTCTCGGAAGCACTTGTTGTTCACACAAAGGCCTGACACACTGACAAAGACCAAGGCGGACACCAGATAACTTGTATAGCGAATTCTACTGTCATATATCTTATTGTTTTTAATTCTGTTCCTTTGAGTTTTTGTCAATGTGTCTGGTCCGTGATTTTATGTTTCATTTTACATATTCATCTTGTTGACTTCTCGTGACTCTTAATCATTTGAATATTGTGGTAGACTAGGGAAGTATCATATGGTAACACTCTGTACTGTTGGCGTAGATAGGTTGAGAGCCAGACACGTGTGCTGACAGTGTGTAATGGATCGAAGGTCATCATGCTGGATATGAAATTGTTGTACTATATAAAACTAAAGAAAAGCGATAAATTCAATGGTTTTTCCTTGTTTTCATTAAGTCTATATTCACAGTGTAGTATCACAACATGAAGTTAATTAACATTCAATTAAATTTCGGTGGTCTAGGATGACAGGTTAAAGGTCGCACTTCACCACATTGTTAAGTGAAAAGTTCAAAAGATCATAAAATTTTAGTATCACAACCTGCATAAAAAATTTGATTTTGGACCTGATCATTTAAACAAAATGGCTGATAGGCGCACATTTTGGATTTTAACAATGGAAGTTTGTTAACGCAATTTTGTGAAATCTAAAAGAAAGTGCTTGATGGATCTTTCTCCGGTGTCCTTATTGGCCCTTGTGCAATTTTGATTTGGGACTGATCAGAAAAAGTGGCCAACAGGCGCTTGCCTTTGATTTCACAGTTAAGGATATTATTAAAACTTCTTGAGAGGAATTCTCAAATTTCAAAGAATAAAGAACAAAAACGGAGTAAAGATTAAACATTTGAAGAACAGTCAAAGATAAAAAAATAGCTCTTGTTCAGTTGAAGTTGCCACATGCAATTTCATGAAGTACCAAAAGTAATTAAGGAAATTGTAGGCCTACATCGTTTACTTTCAGCTCGTGATCGTAATGGTGTGTCCGCCACTGTATCAAATACACATTCTCAACACGTGAATGAATCTTCGAAAGAGTGCTTTCTCTTTGAATCTCGTGAAGCTGAGTTAAAAAGAGATAACTCCCTCAATATACGGCGAGATTTTGAGGGTAAATGATAGTTTAACTGGAATACCCTCTATCACATTTGTGGTGAATTAACAGTCAAAATACACTGCGGCTCGAGGACTACCAACAGGTAATCTCGCTATCGGGGTCAAAGTTTTACGTCGGACAAAAATATTGCAGCTTCCCAATAACTGAGAAAATGTGTCGATGTTGTAGCCAAATTACCGTCAATTATCACAGACCTGTTATAATGTTTCTGTGGAGTTGAGGGCTTGTATGGAATACTAACTAGTAAAGGGGACCAACGAAATACCAGAGAGAAATTTACCACCCTTACAAAAGTGGTATTCGGACATGTTTTTATATATTTGGTATAAAAATTAGCTACAAAGAAAACACTTCTTATAATACAACAGATTTCGCTAACTGTGAATATGAAAGAAGACCTGATGTTCCATGATGTAGCCATGTCCGTCCGCTGAAATCCAGATCAAACCAGTTTAGTTTGAATCTTATCAGCTGCCATTGTTGTTGGTATTATCAAAAAAAGAGGCAATTTCATTTTTCAAAGGACATATTTGATTGGTCAATAAATTGAATCGACCAATCAAATACGTCTACTCGCCATTATTCTTCAGCGATGTAATTTATATTTTATAGTAACATTAACTAATATCATCATTTTATAGATAAATAAAGGTAAACTAGGTCATCCGAGACAAAGTCTCATGGTGACCTATTGCGACCACCTCTGTCCGGCGTCGTGCGTCCATAAACAATTTAACGTTACTGATTTCTCAAAAACGCCTGAACTGGTTTCAGGGAAATTTTGCAAAAACACTTCTCGGTTGAATGAATAGTCCCAATCCTAAAAAGTACTGAGGGGCGGGGTCAAAAGGGTCAAATTGACTCAAACTTCAAAAATCTTCTCAACACTCAGATGTGGTCTAATGCTCTTAATGGATGGAAGCATCTTCAAGTGCTTTACCAAAATTGTGAACTTCGTGGCCTCAGGGTCTGCCAGTGGGGAGGAGGTAAAGTTTATTCTAGTTTATAGAGGGAAATGGATTTTTAAGCATAATTTGTTTTACTCCATTGGAAATATTTCAAACTTGGTTATAATTATGAGTTGACGATGACGGCTAGATGGAATGCATATATTGATCCTGACTGACCCCCAGTGGTTGATGGGTGGGGGCCAAAAGGGGTCAAATGGACTTAAACTCCAAAAATCTTCTTCTCATCACTCAGGCATGGTAGGATCAAATGTTCTTCTTGAATGGAAGCGTCTTGAGGTGCTTCAATCACCAAAATGGCTCAACATTTCTTCCTGGACAGGAGGGTAACTTATATTTTTACAGAAATATTGCATTTTAAAGCATATCGTTTATTTCCCACTGTAAATAATTTTGTACGATTTAATGAGGATGACAGTTTTGATGGTAGGCATGTACTGACACTGCTTATTATTATTTCTTTTTCGTGACACTTAAAGCTACCCTTTAACCTTTATATTCAATATATATGACTTACTCTAAGTGCCCGTCAAGGCCTTTTTCGTGACACTTAAAGCTACCCTTTAACCTTTATATTCAATATATATGACTTACTCCAAGTGCCCATCAAGGCCTTTTTCGTGACACTTAAAGCTACCCTTTAACCTTTATATTCAATATATATGACTTACTCCAAGTGCCCGTCAAGGCCTTTTTCGTGACACTTAAAGTTACCCTTTAACCTTTATATTCAATATATATGACTTACTCCAAGTGCCCGTCAAGGCCTTTTTCTTGACACTTAAAGTTACCCTTTAACCTTTATATTCAATATATATGACTTACTCCAAGTGCCCGTCAAGGCCTTTTTCGTGACACTTAAAGCTACCCTTTAACCTTTATATTCAATATATATGACTTACTCCAAGTGCCCGTCAAGGCCTTTTTCGTGACACTTAAAGCTACCCTTTAACCTTTATATTCAATATATATGACTTACTCCAAGTGCCCGTCAAGGCCTTTTTCGTGACACTTAAAGCTACCCTTTAACCTTTATATTCAATATATATGACTTACTCCAAGTGCCCGTCAAGACACTTAAAGTTACCCTTTAACCTTTATATTCAATATATATGACTTACTCCAAGTGCCCGTCAAGGCCTTTTTCGTGACACTTAAAGTTACCCTTTAACCTTTATATTCAATATATATGACTTACTCCAAGTGCCCGTCAAGGCCTTTTTCGTGACACTTAAAGCTACCCTTTAACCTTTATATTCAATATATATGACTTACTCCAAGTGCCCGTCAAGGCCTTTTTCGTGACACTTAAAGCTACCCTTTAACCTTTATATTCAATATATATGACTTACTCCAAGTGCCCGTCAAGGCCTTTTTCGTGACACTTAAAGCTACCCTTTAACCTTTATATTCAATATATATGACTTACTCCAAGTGCCCGTCAAGGCCGCTAGGCCGCTTTGCTTTTTAAATACTTACACAAGTAACTTAACAGAGATATAATTAAATAATTTCTTATTTGACACAAATAGGTTTTTCAAGAATCTTAATATGGCATAAGCCGCTTACAGAGGTATTCCATTGTAATGTAGGGTTCCGCAGTGCACTCTGGGTTAGAACGGTGGAATATGTGTCTGAAAAGCGAAAAATCCTATTTTTCAACCTCTAAAATTATTCTCATCATTAAAGTGTATCTTAATGCAGTAAGGCAGTAAAGTGGAAACGACAAATTCCATACTGAACTATATAATAGAAGAGGCACTTGATCAAATATTCGGAAGTTCGTGGTCATGCGGCGAATTTTTCGTTTCCCAGAGTATCTGCTTTTATATAAACTCAAACACATATGAAAAACATGTGATAATTTTGTGATCTTTGAACAGCACCAGCTATTAGTTTGCCATCCTCCGCGATGCTTACTTGATTACAGATTTGCCACCGACACGTGCGTAATGTCTTCATTTCTAAAGAGTTCCTATTTGCGGTAACAACTAATTATTGGTCCTTAGATCTGGAAAAAATGACCGACAAGCAAACATATTGACTCTTAAGTTTACCTGGAAGTATCCGATAAATGTTCAGTTTAGAGGCTGATAATGGACTGTTCTAGATACTCCAAATCGGATAATGGTATATGCCAAACAATCAGTAAACACACGTCATACCAGAATTCTTGAAATTAAGAGGCGAAGTCTTTCAGATCTTAATCAGCTTAAAATGTAGACCAAGAGGTCATTAACCGCATAATTCTATAAACGTTCATTTTTTTTAACTGTAAAGAAACATTCAATGCATGTTGCATGTGTTTATTTTGTATTCAAGGGAATTCAGACATGGTGCACGGTGTTACTATAAACCTGTGTACTAAAAGGGCCACCAACAGAGGAATTCAGACATGGTGTACGGTGTTACTATAAACCTGTGTACTAAAAGGCCCACCAGCAGAGGAATTCAGACGCGGTGTACGGTGTTACTATAAACCTGTGTACTAAAAGGGCCACCAACAGAGGAATTCAGACATGTTGCACGGTGTTGCTATAAATCTGTGTACTAAAAGTGCCACCAACAGAGGAATTCAGACATGTTGCACGGTGTTGCTATAAACCTGTGTACTAAAAGGGCCACCAACAGAGGAATTCAGACATGTTGCACGGTGTTGCTATAAACCTGTGTACTAAAAGGGCCACCAACAGAGGAATTCAGACATGGTGCACGGTGTTGCTATAAATCTGTGTACTAAAAGGGCCACCAACATGATACTGAAAGGCCCACCAGCAGAGGAATTCAGACATGGTGTACGGTGTTACTATAAACCTGTGTACTAACGGTGTTACTATAAACCTGTGTACTAAAAGGGCCACCAACAGAGGAATTCAGACATGGTGCACGGTGTTGCTATAAATCTGTGTACTAAAAGGCCCACATACAGAGGAATTCAGACATGGTGTACGGTGTTATTATAAACCTGTGTAATAAAAGGCCCACCAGCAGAGGAATTCAGACATGGTGTACGGTGTTATTATAAACCTGTGTACTAACGGTGTTACTATAAACCTGTGTACTAAAAGGGCCACCAACAGAGGAATTCAGACATGGTGTACGGTGTTACTATAAACCTGTGTAATAAAAGGCCCACCAGCAGAGGAATTCAGACATGGTGTACGGTGTTATTATAAACCTGTGTACTAACGATGTTACTATAAACCTGTGTACTAAAAGGGCCACCAACAGAGGAATTCAGACATGGTGCACGGTGTTGCTATAAATCTGTGTACTAAAAGGCCCACATA